ATCACATATTTTATGATGCAGGACGTGCGATAGAGCTCCGTGTGTGACTTAGGTCTCGCGATATCAGTGATCAGTGCACGCGTGTGGACAGCTGCTTATCGATAACAATGTTCGCCAGGGAGCTCATTATCTTTCGAATCATGCCAGGCATCCTGCTCTTGCCTTGCAATGACGATAAGATCCAGATTTCAGTTTATTGATAAAAAAAAAAGAATATGTCTACGACACTTAAAAACTGCTGGTCGATGTCGGAATGTTATTTATCATATATCTTCGCAAGACGCAAATGAATGCTCGTTGCGTCTTTGCCCTGGCACCCGCGATAATTCGATGACGCGTGATGTTGAATCGAAGAGCGGAGTTGTAATGCGGATTGATCCGCATTATATTTCCCTCGCGTGTTGCAACAATCTCTGGTCGCTTACTGCCTGTCATTCTCCGATATCTTGTGACGCAAGAAAGTATTTTTTAATATTGAGGTGAATACCCTCCTTCAATCATTCGATTGAATTCCCGAGAAAATTCATCATTTTGCTGACGATTTGTCTTCTATATTCTATTGATAAATACTCAATTTTTGTGATTATATATAAAAAAATTTGTTTGTCCGATTTTTGACATTAGACATGTTAATGATCCTTTATTCTATAATCCGATATTTTAAGTTGACACAGCCTGGCATCGCTTAGCCTAATTTTCCAAGTATCTGTATCAAATTGTACAATCGTTAATTATATTTTTGAAATCTTCATGAATTCCTTCGAATAATAAAAATCCTTTGAATTATGTTAGGATAGAATCGAGAATGATGGTTGATTTCTCATTTGAAAATTCAGGCATTTCATGAAAGATTAAATCTTTTGCGACTTCGTCAAGGTCTATATAAGCGTATTAAAACGTTTCATTAGCTAATATTAAAACGTATCAAAACAGAATTATTAGCTTTTGTTTTATATACATATCTTACAAATCTTATTGTTAATCGCGCTATAGCGCTGTGATGTGAACATCTCGATGTCGCAACGTTTCAAACTATCTTGCGGAAAATGCATCTAACAAAGTGCGTGATAATCGTCCTCACCTGTCGACGTGAGGACTTCGTTTTGCGCACAGTTCATTCTGCAAACGTCACGGATTCATTGTCGCGAGCGATAAGAGCGGGAGGGATATTTGCCCTCTAAATTACGTCTCGCGGCCTCGTCGTTTCGCGATTTACTTCTCACTCGCTCGTCATAATTCGCGTCTCGTTCGTTCGTCGCAATTGTTGCGCAGCCAAGCTGAGCCAAGTGCGTGCTTCTTTTCCGCGTGTTGCATCGAGAAAAAGGTGTTTTGTCCGGAAAATAAGTCTGTTTATCTTCGGAAATCAAAAATGACGAGACGAAATAATGTGACTAAACTCGGAAACGCTTAGCGAAATCGATAATAAATTTCGCGGATTATATTTGATGATTTAGAATTATAAAAGGAACACATGTACGAGTTATCTTATTCTTACAGGATACAAAGGAAGCTGCAATAACGAGATGCGTCCGACCCATGCCGCGCTATATGCTTTCCGATTGACATTGAATCAGGTAAGACGCATTAAAACGCGAGTTTCTCTGGTCCCACGTTAATTGACTTTAATCAACATCATCTATCTAATTTACTCCGCTAGAGAACATTGCCTTTATATTCTCAGCTGATTTATCTTAATTTAAAACTATATTAAAATTTGTATGACAAGGATATATTATAAATAATTTGTATTATGGCCAAGAAACATATAATAAGACATATATATAAATATAAAATTAATTATCACATAAATTTTACTTTAACAAAGCGCTCTTTATTACGGTTTTTGCTTCCAGGGACCCGGTCCAGCTTTCTACAGGGCTAGAAGCTTTGATCGTGGCACGGCAACGTTCGCAGTTTGTCTAGCGACCCTTGGACTATCTCTCAGCATGTTCTCCCTGAAACAAATGCAGTCATCGCACCAGCGTCGTAGGCTTTGCTAAAAATTCAACCGATTGTAATTTACCAAACAAAATCAACGGTCAAGAAATAAATCCATCCATCATGAAAACATTTATGCGACAATACATCATGGATGACGCTATTCTAAGATCAGCAACGTGGCGTTCCGGCTCAAGTTACACTTCTATGACTAGAATAAAAGTTTGCGATTTGTATCTTCTGCAAATTTCGCGGCATGTCCCTCTTTTGAAGCGCAAACAACTTGTACAATTGAGAGATCATGTCCTCGATTCGTAGACGCGCGCATAAGACCGCGTGCTTCGATCATACAGAATTCAGTACTTGGTATAGGCAGAAATCACAAACGCGATGAATTTTTATCGAAGACGGCACCAGCTTCGAGCAAGATGCGCACACTTCGTGAATCCATGTAAATGTAATGACTTTTTTTTTAGAAATGATAGCTCATGACGGAAGAGATATATTCTAGTCGTGCAAATAAATGATGTTCCTACGAGAGATGGTGCAGCTTTGCGGCGGATTCTTTTTCGAGGGAATTTCGTTTCGTGATCGATATATTAGAACGGAAGATAGTTACATTTTGCATCATCATTTAGCTTAGTTTATCGATTATTTCCGAAAATAATTCCTTCTAATGCACAATTGTAATATTAACACAATGTTGTATCTGCTTTATTTTATATCTTATTCCATTTCTTTGATACTGTACAAAAACAAAATTAGATCGAGAAATAATTGTTATCAATTCACTGCAATAATATTAATTATTAAATAATGACGGATTATAACAAAAATTATTTTATCAGACTTAAGAATTAGAACAAAATTTATATCACGAAAACATTTACTTATAATACTTGGAAGCAGAACATTTTGTAAAGCAATACATAATCGAAAATTTTTTTCGTTAGGATGACAAACTGTCCAAGAGTTTTGCTAAGTGAAGATATCCACGAATCTAATTGATTGACGATTTTAATTAGATATCTTAATGAGTTAAGTTACGAATGGTAATTCGTCCATCAAATATATCGCTGATGCTCATCCCGTCTTCGTCTGTAAAATAGAGCCGAATTACTGTCGTTGAACCTGAAGCACAGATAGCACATCGTATTGATAATATATTACTGTAGTTGCCTCTCACAAATCTTTCTACAATACAATCATCCGAAACTCAATTTAAACTTACTTTCCTCAATATTTTTGACAAATTAATGTGAAATTTTGACGAAACTTTTTTCTTATTTTTCAATATTATTATTTTTTGCGACAAATACACTACTGTGCTATGAGAATCGCTACAAAATGTATGTTTCCATCACCGTTGATATATGAATTTATATATTTGTGTTTTAAGATCGTTTCGGAGCATTTGTAAGATTGATTGTTTTTAATCAAACGTTGATTTAGTGGCTAGGACTTTTTTATTAAAGATATCTCATTATAGTAAATGCAAGATTTACGCTTAGGTCTTAGAAAAAGGAAAAACAATTCCGAAAAAACGCAAGATAGAAATTGTCGACACCGTGTTATCAAAATATTAAGAAGAAAAATTGAATATCATTAAATAACCTTATGCCAAAAGGAGAAACGTGTTGAGATATCTATTTCTATTTTGGTCTTAACTTGTACATTTATTTATAATTATTATACAGTCTCAGGCTCGATATTCCATCTCACACAACTTCTTACCCATTCTCTCTTGATTCTTTCTCTTCAAAATTCATCTCATATTCTCATAAAAAGTCGCATCTAAGTCACAGGAAAAAGAGCCAAGAGTCCAATTTTGTCCGAACACATAAATAATAAGAGCAATTTTTTTTTTACACTTTCACCACGCAAAATTATTTGCTCATTTCGTATTCACGGTACAGATGCGACTGCTCATACAAGAAATATATATATTTATATATATAATTAAAAGATCATGATCGTCAGGCTGCTCGATTTGAAAATTCATATACGCGTCATGTAAAACGCAACGATGATATATTCTGCAAAAGATAAATGAATGAAAAAAATTTGCATATATATATATATATATATATATATATATATATATCGAAAATTTGAATCAAATGAAATCATTCTTTTAAATCTGTAAACCTAAATAATTTTTGGATAATTTCTTCTTCTACAATCGATATTTTATTTTTCTATTTATTTATTTGTTTTTTTTTTTTTTGCAAAGAGAACTAAAATTCGAGATTACGAAGATTAAAATTCAATTTCGCGATCGAAAATGAATTTTGATCATCCATCATTCTTTTAGCAATGTTTTTCGCAAAAGCAACAAATCGTCAATGTTTAAAACGGAAAAATTTATATCTAAACGAAAAAGAAAAACGCAATGACGATATATTACGCGTTTCTGACAATTCTGCAAAAGATAAGCGAGTATCACGAAATAAATTCTCGTCAGACGAAACAAATGCTAGTTTACGTCGCTTTATGAAATTTCTCATGTGTCTGTTGTTGCTTTTTATCATCGAATCATATGCATGCGAATCAACACAATTAATAAAATCGTAATCGAGTATAACGTTGCTCCTTCTCGAAACTGGGCACAGCTATCACAGTTGTCCCTCTTAAACGGTTCCCACACAATGATCGATACCGTTGCATAGCGATCTCTTTTCTTTAATATTGCGATAAATGATATGTCCTGATACAGGATGTGCTCCGAATTTTACCAAGTTTTTTTCAGCTACGAGAGGTGCGACAAACCGGAGGAACTCTGAATAATTCGGTGCCATCCTGTACATCAATGCTACGAATCGCGAGATTATCATGCAATAATATCGAATGATATGCGAGACGGGGCTGCTTCAATTGTTTTCGTCGAATGTCCAAGTGTTACATAGGAAGCACAACTTTCTGCTGACAAATCTAAAAATTTGATTAGATGCGAAAATAATTTTAATTTTTATAGCCTTCAAAATTATGCACGATGTAATTTGCAAATTCAAATTTCAAATTGATTGCAAAATTTTTGCAGTATTATTATGATCACGCTTAAGCGCCCTACTATAATAAGTTTGAATCCAAAAGTTTTGAATAAAATTATTTTCAGTATCTGTATATCTGGCCAAATTTTTAGGATTTGCCAACAAACGCTATGCACTCTCCATGTAATTAAACAGAAGAGTGATCGCGGGATAGGATAAGCAAATTCGGTTTTCCCTTTATCTGTGTTCATTATCATCTTAACGATACTCTAATGGCAGTCTGTGCAGGGAGGTAAGTGTCTGTCAAGAATCAGCTTTGACAATGACATCGATTTCATGATGTTCCTATCACGTGTCACGAGGTCGAGCCGATCGGGCTCGTTCAACGATAGCGCGAATCGAGGAAAGAGAATATATGTATTATGTATCTCTTGTACGTGTACTCATTTTCGAGAAGAAAAACAACGCTCAATGTCACCAACCAGACATCGATTGACCCGAGCTGCCCAACGATTGAGATATGCTGGGCTTTCACGGTCGCTTTCACACGTCATCGTCAGCTTTCCGTCCGGAATATATTCCACCGCTTATAAATATCCGTTCGCCTTTCTTTCCTGTTTTTCAA